TATGAGTCGGATTTACCTCGAGAGTGGCTGGCTTGAGGTGCCCTGGGGAGACGGCGATTTAGGTGGGTGCAGCCCCTCACAGACTGTATGTGTCTCAGGACGGGAATGTTGCTGCTCTGGTGGTGCGATGTTTACCCATCAGGGCAGGCTCGCTCCCTGCAAATTAAATACCAGATGTCTGGGAACTCGTGTCGTTTCTAAATATATTCTGAGTCACCTCCTGTGTAGTGACAGGGAGGCTGTGCCAGCAGGCATTAGATTAGAGTGCTGAAACTTACAGCTATTGTGTAAAAATGATTTTCACACTGAATAATTTCATACTGAATTATCCCAAAGAGTTAAATTGGACATTAAAAAAAAATCTCAGATTGAAGGGTTGTGTGTGAAGATATTTTGTTGGGTCTTAAGAAAGCTTGCAAACCTTTCTAGTAGGAAGCATATTCGTATTGGACGGTGAGATAGTATTGAGCTCATTTGACTAGACAAGTGCTAGATTTCAGGCTCTGGGGAGGAGAAATGGGGAGGGGGGAAGACCGAGTTTAAAACAGAAACTGGAACATGATATAGTCTCTTTGATTCTCACCTCTGTCCAGATTAATTGCAGAAATTCTTCTAAGGACTTACAAGGAAATAAATGAGGTGGGGTTGCTGGGGAGTTAAGTTAGCAGAATTTAAACAATAAAAAATGCTGTGCTTTGTTTTTCATTGAACAGCATGTGTGTACTGTAAACTACTCCTTTAATAGATTGGTACATCTTTATTTCTTACAGCTTACAGCAGTGGTTCTCAACCTTCCTAATGCCACGACCCTTTAATACAGTTCCTCATGTTGTGGTGACCCCCAACCATAAAATTATTTTCGTTGCTACTTCATAACTGTAATTTTGCTACTGTTATGAATCGTAATGTAAATATCTGATAGGCAGGATGTATTTTCATTGTTACAAATTGAACATAATTAAAGCATAGTGATTAATCACAAAAACAATATGTAATTATGTGTTTTCCGATGGTCTCAGACGATCCCTGTGAAAGGGTCATTCGACCCCCAAAGGGGTCGCGACCCACAGGTTGAGAACTGCTGGCTTACAGGAAAGAAAATGTAGCCGCCATTGTTGATTGCTAGCTTGAATACCTTCGTAAGTCATGCTGTTGCTTCATATAGTGTATTTAATTAAGTTGATAACACTGAAAATCATTTCAGTCAATAGATGCTGTTATTGCCCCAGCTGGTTTGGCTCAGTGGATTGAGCGTTGGCCTGTGGACTGAAGGGGCCCAGGTTCGATTCAGTCAAGGGCCTGGGTTGCATTCTTGGTCCCCAGTAGAGGGGATGGGGGCCATGCAGGAGGCAGCCAATCAGTGATTCTCTCTCATCATTGCTGTTTCTATCTCTCTCTCCCTCTCCCTTCCTCTCTGAAATCAATAGAAATATATTTAAAAAGTAGATGCCGTTATTTATGGCATGAGTTTCCTTAGTTTTGGAGAAGAAGGATCGCTCCCTGAAGTTCACATTGAAATCTCCCCTGTTTGTCGGTCTTGTGGAGCAGGATGCTGTGTTATTTACTGTGCATTTGTAGAGCAGTCCCTAGACTAGAGGCTCACTCCTGACCCCCGCATCCTGCCTCACAGGCAGTGCTTTCCCATTTGATGAGGACACTGGCCCTCACATGAGATGGCTGCGTGGCGGCCACCTTTTCCTCTGGGAGCTTCTGGGCTCTACACCCCACCTGGTTTCTCACTTCCTCGGGTCTCCATTTCCATCTGTCCTCCTCCTGCTCTTGCTTGCCCCCTGCTGGAAGCAATAATAACAGGCAGCAGGGGTCCCAGGCAGTGAGCAGAGCTGAGCTCAGCTGGAAAATACTAACCTGGCAGTTATTTCTTCCAAGTGTGGTCCCTGCCTGGTGGGCCAACGGGTCCCTCGTCCGACATGCTGTGTTTTCGGTGGTTTTGTCCCTGACCACCTGCCTACACTTTCCAGCAGATTACTGTGACATTTAACTCCCTTTTCATGCCAAATGGAGGTCATATTAATAGAAATGATAGCAAATACACATAAGTAAGATCTGGCATCAGCATTTTTCTCTCCACTGTAATGGACTTAAAAAAAATAATAGAGTGGGACAGCAAGGTATGTGACAGTCCTGGGAGGGAGGCCTGGGGGTTGGGATATAGGTGGGAAACTCAAATACTTTATTCTCTATTTGGTCCTTATGTAGCCTATTTTCTAAATGACCCATTTCCTTCTTTTTCTTTTTCTGTTTTCTCTTGTGAACACCAGCAAGCAATGTTCAGATGGGTCAGAGGGCGACCAAATCATATTGATGGACAAACACAATAGTGTGCACAAGAGGAATATCAGGTTCCTCATAGCTGCACATATTGTTAACTTTGCTGCCCCTTGACGGTCTCATAATCTACCTGAACAACGTGAGTCCAGAATGAATTCCAAAAGGCCATTTCTCGGCTTTCCCACCCCGGCATCTGGTTAATTGCCGTGGTAGCTAATGATGAGGGAAGAAGGCTTAGCCAATGGGCCTCATTTAATTCAGCACAGCTTTTAGAGATGAGTTAAGGGTAATGAACTCCATTAAGCCCCTAAGCAGAAGGGCACACATGATTCTTATAAATATTATAGCTTATCATTTAAATGTTGAATACTCAACCCCTTATTAATTGACTGCTGCTCTGCTGAATAAACTGAACATTGTGGTTTCACACATATGCAATCTCTCTGGAAAGTGAATATTATAATTTTCTTTTTTAAAACATATGTTTTTCTTGATTTCAGAGAGGAAGGGAGAGGGAGAGAGAGAGAGAAACATCAATGAGAGAATCATTGATTGGCTGCCTCCTGCACTCCCCCTACTGGGGATCCAGCTTGCAACATGGGTGTGTGTCCTGATGGGGAATTGAACTGTGACCTCTTGGTTCATGGGTTGACGCTCAATCATTGAGCCACACCGGCTGGGCTATCATTTTCTTAAATATTCTCAGTGAGAATGGATATATGTTCCAAAGTCCTCCAGAGTTTTGCTCCTCAATCAAGTTGTTTAAGGATGTGTATGATTTGCAAAGATTCAGATTTCAATTTAAAAGCTAGAACTCGAAACATGTTCCCGAAAATGATATTATTTCCAATGGAGACTTTTGCAATGCAGGTAGTGAACATAGAATGCTCCAGTTTCTTATAAGTTATTAACTCGCCACCAACGTTTGTCCTATCAATGGATAGTTATGGGTGTGCAATATTTATTTCAACCCTGCTTCTAATGTATAACAGGAGCGTTGCATGTGGAAAGAAATAATACACAAAAGCTAATAACAGTAACTTGCTTTCCATTGAAAACTCAAGGAATCGGATGTCTGGCTTAGTAATCTTGGATGAGCAGGAAATAATGCTAGATGGAAAGGCAAAACCAAGATAGCAAGGGCAGTGTCTAACTAGATCAGCTCCGGAGGAAGACCATGTGACTCCCTCTAAGTGATTTCCTTTCTTCTAGCTCCCAGCTCCGCACCTTTCAGATAGAAACAATCATTGCATCCACCTGACAGAGCGGTGAGAACTAAATGAGAGGTCGTACGCAGTGCTTAGACGAGCGCATTCGCGTGGGGAACACTATTCAACATTAGCTGTAATTACCATTAGTCATAAATCAATGCCAGTGCGTAGAAGAAAGGCTCTTCCCCTCCCCATTAGCAGTGTTTGTAATAAAACCCCAAGTATCACTGGTTATGAAAAGGCTGGTGACTGGCAGTTGACTCGTGTGTCTAGAGCAGGTTCACCGGGTCACTCCGTCACCTTGTGGTATTCAGTGGAGTCTTACTCAGTGGAGCTGTTTGGACCTCACTTAGGGTGTGGGAAGGTCTACTGCAGAACCATAACACAGAAGCACCGGCGTCCGTGGACTTTTCCGAAGGCACGACGTGCAGGGACGATGTGGAGGCGTCTAACGGACAAGGCCCTACCAAGTTTCCAATAGTTTTCCTGACCCATCAGCTTGCACAGGCTTTAGACGTGCTTTGCCTGAAATGTGTGTCTGACTAGCAGCTAAGTGACTATTTAAATTGCACTAGAATTGACTTTAAAATCATTTGTCGCATAAATAACATTATTTTGATTTTTTGCAGCCCCTCACACCTCAGGGCAGGGAAACAGCAGGGTGGGGGGGTGGGGAGTATAGGGCGTGGCTACAGTGTTTTGGACAGGTTCAAGCCTCGGACTAATAAGAGGGCACAGTCCTCTCATGGCCATGTGCAAGTCCAGCTTGGATGGCAGAGCTTTCCCATCACAATTAGCCAACAGCTATAGTTGTGAGTTTGAACCTGTGGTCTGAACACATGACCCCACGTGCCTGAGTGATAGAGTTCAGGTGCATGTAGTTGAGTAGGATTGAAACCCACGAGAATGATGTAAACAACTTGATCACGCCCCTAATTTGCCTCGTGGCATCTGCTGTAAAATAAAGACACGGCTTGTGGGCGTCTCCTCATCAGGGAGCAGCGTCCCACCGAGACCCAGCTTTCATTCTCTTGTCTGTCTTTTCTAAGCCTTTCACTGCCCCCACTCAGGGTCACTGAACCAGGCTGAGCTGGCACGGCACATAAGGCGCCCTGGGGCTGAGTATGCCATGGCCGTGCCGGCTCCCCACAGGGGAGGGCATGGAGGGGTGGTTTGTCCAGCTGATTCTCAGCTAAAAGTGCCAAAAACAGCATTTGGGGGGTTCTGCCTGGACAACCATGAGACAGAGGTGGTTTTTCATTTGTTGGTTTTGGTGACAAATCTCGTGACCTGAATCCCCCTAGTCTTTGAAGGAGAGAATTCCAAAGGTGAGGGATTTGGGGTCAGCCAGTCAGGATCCTGTAGAGAATCCAACTTCCTGATGGAGGGATACGTGTCCCAGTCCCCGCGGGAGCCCTGGATCTGGGGTCCCTGTTTCTCTGGGGTGGGTCTTAAGAGGGCTCACCTGGACTCAGACCTTGTGTTCCTTCTCTTCCGCAGGTTCCTGGGCAGACCGCTCACCTCTACACGATGCGGCGAGTCAAGGCCGCCTCCTGGCTCTGCAGACACTCCTGTCACAGGTGAACTGTCCCATATGCTTAACGCCGGCCCCGGGCCATGAGCGGAAAACATGACTCCCCAAAGTCATCAGCTCGAAAACGCTAACACCGCTTCGTAAATTTCATTAGCCTTTTTAGTTGAACTCACCAAGCGGTCAGGTCTGTGGTTTCTCGTCTATTGGAAACCTCTTTATAAATATGTTGGCGTCTGATCTTAAGTCTTAGCATTTCCGATTTCCTGCGCAGTGTATTTGTTTATTGATAGACACACGTATGCAGGAAATCATTGGAATCGCGTGTTATTTATTAAGCGCGTTAAGTATCCTTCACTCTACAATGTGTGCAGCTTATTCAGTTCAGCCTAAAATATCAAAAGAGGCTCATCAGACCAGCCGCCTAGACCAGTGGTCGGCAAACTGCAGCTCAGCAAACTGTGGCTCTCGAGCCACAAACAATGTGTGCAGCTTATTCAGTTCAGCCTAAAATATCCAAAAGAGGCTCATCAGTCCAGCCGCCTAGACCAGTGATGGCAAACCTATGACACGCATGTCAGAGCTGACACTCGAACTCATTTTTTTGGTTGATTTTTCTTTGTTAAATGGCATTTAAATATATAAAATATCAAAAATATAAATCTTTGTTTTACTATGGTTGCAAATATCAAAAAATTTCTATATGTGACACGGCACCAGAGTTAAGTTAGGGTTTTTCAAAATGCTGACACGCCGAGCTCAAAAGGTTCGCCATCACGGGCCTAGACCCTTCATGGTAGCTTGTGATGCATTGTGGGGAACTGTCTGTGAGAGCGAGGGACCGGTCATTTCTCCACCCGCCTGCCCATCCCTCACCAAAGGGAAGATGGAAACCACAGGGGCTTTGCTGAAACAGGAGGCGCTCTGGCTCGGCCTGTGGGTTTTTAAAAGTTGCCGGCGGCGTGCAGCAGAAAAGAGAAAAACTATTTGCCAGCACGACTCAAACGGACACCCAGGCCAGGCAGCCACTGTCCCGTGTCTCCCAGGATCGAGGAGAGGCGCCTTCTCCCAGGGCCACGAGGGAGGAGAGCAGTGTCTGTCGCCCAGGGTGAGGGCACCTGGGGCTGGGGACCTGGATGCCAGGCTGGCACTGAAGGTGAACCCCAACGTCTCTGGCCCCCACTGTCTCTCGTCTGTGAAGGGAAGAGTTAGGGCGAGAAGCCCCCTTGGGCCCGGCCACTTCTCTGATAACCATGTGACTCTTTTGTTTGCTCATCACGTCATGAAAACAACCTGCAAAAAGGTCATTCATGTCTAAAGGGGACCCCCTGAAGGGTCACGCAGTTCTCAGAGAGGCAGGCAGTCTGAGGATATTTCATAACACGTATGTCATATGCACCGACAGCCCAGCCAGGCAGAGCCAGAGGCTGCGCCACAGTCCTGCGTGATAGGGAATCTCCCCTTCCCGAGGCTTCCCTTGTCTGGTCCCTGGTGTGGGCAATCCCTTCTCCAAGTCTGACGGCTGGCCAGCCACCTCGAAATCTTGGAAAGGATCATCTAAGGCAGCGGTTCTCAACCTGTGGGTCGAGACCCCTTTGGGGGCCAAACGACCCTTTCACAGGGGTCGCCTAAGACCATCAGAAAACACATATATAATTACATATTGTTTTGTGATTAATCACTATGCTTTAATTATGTTCAATTTGTAACAATGAAATTGGGGGTCACCACAACATGAGGAACTGTATTAAAGGGTTGCGGCATTAGGAAGGTTGAGAACCACTGATCTAAGGGATCTTAAAAATTGCCACTTGTCAGTGACGAAGATTGAGGGTGATTATTTTCTTGCCTCCAATTTAAGATTCCTCACGTCCCTCTGGCATTTCAGACCGTGGGGATCTGCATTCCATTACGGGGATCTGGCCCAGAAAAGTCTCCTCAGGATGGTGCTTAGTGTGATGGTCAACAGACAACGAATCACCACCCACAGCAAGAAGGCAAAGGATCGCAGATCCTGGTCAAACCTAATTACGTTGGTCTGATATCTTTAGTTTAATTAGAATGGCAGTTTTAGGAGTGTTCCGTTGTGATTGAATAATCAAATCAAACCTTTCCTCTGTGCTGGGCACTGTAACAGTAATTGCTCTCCCTGCGCCAGCTCATTTAATCTCCATTAATTTAGAGGCTAATGGACTCATCTGAATGAAAGCCATCACTGCCTATGCATCAAGGCGTCCAAGCCAAGCCTGACTCCGTAGTCAAGGCCACTCACCACCAGCATAGAACCTGCTCAGACCTACTTCCTGACAAAACTTCACAAAGCAGGGGATCCAGCCTATACCCAGTCTCCAGTTCTACAAAACAAAACAAAAAACCAATAGCAACCCAAGCAAGTCCTAACGAGAAAGGAAAACGTTACGTAGCCAAATGTCAATAATACTTTCAGAATCTATTGAGCACAAGACTTAAAGCAGCACTGGGTCTGGGTGGGGTGGTGTCACAATTACAGGGCGCAGGTGTCTTGACCACTGAGCAACTCCATGGCATTCGAACTGGCCTTTCTGGCCACACACACCTGACTTGCCTGACATTCCTTGACCTTTTGTATCCCTCTTTAGTGACAACTTGTAGAGATGACTTTACAGAACTTTTTCTCACCTTTCAAAATTATTCACGTCACATTTAGGGTTATAACGTAAACGCGGTCACCATAGACCATGTCACCCCATTGCACGAAGCCTGCCTCGGCGATCATGTGGCCTGTGCCCGGACTCTTCTGGAAGCTGGAGCCAATGTAAGTCCCTGTTCAGTGTTCACATCTACCAGGTACTCAAATCAAGAAAAGTTCTCACTCTGCCTCCCTTTCCTTGGTGGTGGTTTTCAAAGGAAACAGAATACAAATAAAGCTCTCCAGCTGCCCAGCCTTCTCTCATTTGCACTCGAAGAAGGAAACCCAATCATTGCAAAAGCGGGGTAGCATGCCGCATCCTATGGAGTACTCTGTAGGCTGTTCCCTGCTTTCGTGGTTCTCAATAGGAATAGATGAACTTCTTTGTGCCCATAATGTTTGCCCATCTTTTGGATGATTTTCTTTTTTAAAATATATATATATATATTTATTGATTTCAGAGACAAGGGGAGAGGGAGAAAGGGATAGAAATGTCAATGATCAGAGAATCATTGATTGGCTGTCTCCTGCATACCCCAAACTGGGGATTGAGCCTGCAACCTGGGCATGTGCCCTGACTGGGAATCAAACCCTGACCACCTGGTTCATAGGTTGACTCTCAACCACTGAGCCACGCCTGCTGAGTTGGATGATTTTCTTTAGATAAATCCTCAGAAATTTTATTTTCAATTTAAACTGCTCCCGGCAAAGTGGCTTTGTCTTCATTTTCATCAATCACTGTTACACTTGTAATTTTTTTACCTATTGAAAAGTACCTAACCATTAAATTCATTTTTGCGCATTTGATCCTTGAGTATGTATTTTTTCATCATTTTTATTGTAGGTTCATTCCTATGAATTATCTACCATATCCTCTTTTTATGTATCTCTTGAAGTTGTAAAACTTTCCTTATCCATGTGTCTGAGCTAAATATCCTTTGTCATATTTACCACGCACGTTCCCAATTATTTTTGTGAGCAGATCACCACACCTTTAAACATGCCTGAGAGTCAATCACGTGTGATCCTCTGAATCTCACTCTGAGATTTTGGTTCGGTTTAGGTCAATGCAATCACAATAGATGGCGTGACGCCGTTATTCAACGCCTGCTCCCAGGGCAGCCCGTGCTGTGCAGAACTTCTGCTGGAGTATGGAGCCAAGCCACAGCTGGAGTCCTGCCTGCCTTCCCCCACACACGAGGCCGCCAGCAAAGGTCAGCTCCGGGGGAAGTGACAAGGGCAGCGGTCCCTGCAGCCACCTGCGCGGTTGCAATGACCTTTCCGTGAATAACAGGCTGGAGCCATGGGCACAGGTGCGTGGGGGGGATGGGCCTCAAGGAAAACAGGTCTCTACTTTGTGTCTGCAGGTCACCATGAATGTCTACAGATCCTGATATCCTGGGGCATAGATGTTGACCAAGACATTCCTCACTTGGGAACTCCGCTGTATGTAGCTTGTATGTCACAGCAATTCCACTGCATCCGGAAGCTTCTTTACGCTGGTAATGACCTTTAAAACATCTTCCATTCCATCCATACCCACAAGTACTTATACAGCTCTTATTTCTTTTTCTTTAAAAAAAAAAGGTATTGATTGATTTGAGAGAGAAGAGAGATTTGTTGTTGCACCAATTTATGCATTCATTGGTTGAATCTTGTATGTGCCCTCAGCAGGGATGGAACCCTCAACCTTGACATATTGGGGTGAAGCTCTAAGCAACTGATGAGCTACTCGGCCAGGGCTCCACTTGTTTCTCTACATGAACTACTTTAAAAATTATATCTCATTTAAAAAATGTTCTTATTCTAAGCTTCTCACACATCAGTCTATAGCCTATAAACAAGAACCTCATTCTTTTTTTAATCTTTATTGTTGAAAGTATTACATATGTCCCCTTTTTCCCCTCATTGACCCCGCTACCCAATCAGGGCCTGACCCTGGTACACTTTTTTTTTAAATCTTTATTATTGACAGTATTACAAATGTCCCTTTTATTCCCCCATCAACTCCCTTCAGCCTCTCCTGCCCAGGCCCTCACCACCCTACTGTCTGTGTCCATGGTTTATGCACATATGCATACAAGGTCTTTGGTTGATCACCTCCCACCACCCCACCCGCCTTCCCTCCGAGATTCCTCACTCTGTTCCATGCAAGACCTCATTCCTGATAACTCCACTTCACCTCAAAGCTCCAAACCCTCTACTTACAAAGGTCAAAGGTCATAACATTCAGATCTTCAAGTTTGAATGTAATGTTGCTAAATATGAATATATCTGGGAAGAAAATGATCAAAAAAATTTCTAGGGATAGTTAACTGCTTCATCGCCTTACCCCCCACCAACCCTAACTCCCGCACGGTCCTAGACCTCATCGTCTCACTTACCTCTGTCTACTTACCTGAAGAGACGTGCTGCCCACTTACTTGAAGCAAACCAGGTCCTCAAGGTTCAGTACAGCCCCTCAGAAACTTCTCCTGACCTTGGAACCAGGGCTGGGAGCTTGGTTAAGTTATGGTTTCTCTCTTTTTCCATCCTCTCTTCCCTCTAGTGCAGTGCTTCTCATGGCAGGTGCTTAAATATACTCAAAATGAGTAAATAAGTTTCTATGTCTTTTTTTGTTCCCTAGAGGCCTGGTGCACACGATTCGTGCACTTGGGGCGGTGGGTGGGGGATCCCTTAGCCTGGTCTTCTCCCTCTCGCAGTCTGGGAGGGGAGAGCTGGCCAAAGCCAGCAGTCAGACATCCTTAGCGCTGCCATGGAGGCAGGAGAGGCTCTGCCACCGCCGCTGAGCTCGCCAGCTGTGAGCCCGGCTCAGGGCTTCTGGCTGAGCAGTGCTCCCCCTGTGGGAGTGCACTGACCACCTGGGGGCAGCTCCTGCACTGAGCATGTGCCCCCCCCCATCAGTGCACATCATAGCGACCAGTCATTCTGCAGTTCGGTCAATTTGCATATAAGCCTTTTATTATATAGGATGGCAATCGTTTGGCCTCTGTTACATCCTGACAGATCTTTGGTGACCCCTTACTGTTTCTCACAGTATCTTCGCTAAATTACACATTTCTGGCAAGCAGTCTCCATCTATTCCACTCCCTTTACTAATAAGACTCTTAAATGCAAGTTCTGCTAATAATTGTTGGCAGATTGATATTTTCTGGCTGTGTCTCCCATATATCTGCATAACCAGGAGAGTGTGTTCTTCATTACCTTTCTTTACTTTGCTAGGAATATTTTCTTTCCATTGAATATTTTATGGGGAGAAGAACACTGGAAAGTGCGGGTGATAATTGGGACGGACTGCCATTCTCAGGCTCTGTTCTCTCCTGACACGGACACACCAGCAGAATGTACGCTCCCTCGATGGAGATGTTGTTATGCAATGCAGTTTTCCCACTAAGCATTTCCATTAGGTTAAAATGTTGAAAACAATTACATTGATTGCAACTTGAGCGTAGCAGGAGGGCCACCCCCTACTTAGAGTGCACTGCTTCTTACAAACAGGAGTTTGACAGGCAGGACCAGGAAGTCGAGTTGAAAGGACTAATGCGTTTTCATCGATACATTTCTCGGTGTTGTAACCATGTATGTGCTGGAAAATGGGATTCTTCTTCATTTCCACATTAAATAGCATTTCTCCATCAGTCATGCATTCAGTGGCTGCCACTAAGATCAAAGGCTATGCAGTAGGTGATTTAACACGGAAGTTATTTTTAAATGTAAGCATTTGAAAAAAAACTGCATGCAGAAATAGAATGTGCCTTTTCATTGAACAGGCTCAGTGCCTGTGTGTCGCTATCGCCTTCAACTACACGAGTGAGAAGTGACAGGAACATCTATTTACATTTTACCTAAAGAGCGCGTGTCTCTGGAATCACGAGTTTTCCAAGAAACAAGAACTCTGTTGCCTTAAAATAAATGAAAAGAAGAAAAGCAATAAGCTCTTGGATACTCCTGAGAGCTATCAATCACGATGCAAATAGATATGTGTCAAACTAATTGTGCACTGTTTATAATACATATGGTAGCTAATATGATGAATGTTGGAACTGTTTAAAATTAAAAGTTCTTTTTGTTAGGTGATATTTTAACCATATAGAAGGATAGTAGACAATATAAAAAATATGTGCATTTTTCATCCAGATGTACCAAGTTTTAAGATTATGTATATGTGTGTATGTGTATGTATATGTATATGTACATATACTTGTACGTGTATATGTATGTATGTTTGTTGATGTGTAATGTTAACATAAAAACATTCAAACCTGTAAAGAATTTTGTGAGTTTATTTGAGCCAAACTGTTGCCCGGAAGCAGAATCTGTAATTTCAGACCATCCTTAGTGGTTACTTTAGGTCTTTGAGTTTGCAAGACCGCCATGCAGGCCTTCCCTGAGCTGGTCAGGTTAGCATGTGGCCCCTTTTGTCTATAGTATGTGTATGTATGTGTATGTGTATGTATGTTCATATATGTGTGTGTATGTGTGTATATGTACATGATACGTACACATGAGGCACTCAGTGCCAACGGAGCTGAGGTCCTTTCTGCCACACCTTCCTCCCCGCGCTGAGGGGACTCTTAGAACAATCGCTGTCTGTACCCATCACCGTTCCGTATTTCCCCGTAGGCGCTGACGTGCAGAAAGGCAAATACTGGGACACGCCACTCCACGCTGCTGCCCAGCAGTCCAACACGGAGATTGTCCACCTGCTGCTGGAATTCGGGGCGGATATCAACGCCAAGAACACGGAGCTGCTGCGGCCGGTGGACGTGGCCTCGTCCAGCAGCCTGGTGGAGAGAATGCTGCTTCAGCACGAAGGTAGGGGAGCCTGCGAGCATCCCAACCACGGAACGCGTCTGCCAGGAGCAGGGAACAGGTGAAACTAGAGGCCTCCGAGGGCAGGCAAAGCAATCATGGCGTGCGATTTGGAGCATTTTGTGAAAGTGAATGCTTTTTAACTTAGGTTCTATCTGTGAAAAAGACAATCACAATGATCTTAATTTTCTTTTTTTTCCCATCTGACCTAAACTTTATATTCCTTTGGTTAAGTTACATAGATTCGGTTTTGACCGCACCTAATATGCAGTTCTGCATCCTGTCTGTGAATAAACACTTAGAGGCTCACCTCATGTTATAGGGGCGGGCGCCTTCTGCAACGTGGGTAGAAACATGATCAGGACATATTTCCACACTTAAGACTTTAGTTCCAAAACGGAATCTCTCTGACACAGTAATTCAATTGGCTTTGGCTTAAACAGTAAATCAAATTTGAGAAGAACAATTAAGAATGTCCTCCATTTGCAACAGCATGGATGGAACTGGAGAGCATTATGCTAAGTGAAATAAGCCAGTCAATGAAAGAAAAAATACCACATGATCTCACTCATTTATGGATAATAAAGTATTTCATATTAAAATGTGCTAACGAGGGGGTAGAAGCGGGTAGGGCAACACCCAGGGAAGCAGGGAAGTATGGATTCTACCTTTAAGTGTACGAGTGGGTACTGTTGTTTTAGATAGGCATTGTTATTGTTTTTGGACATAGTATATTTTGAATATCTATATATTATTATTCCCAGAGACCCTTTTGTTGGTTTAGGAAAAGAAAAGAGTTCTCCATTTTATGTTTTTTAGAGTGAAAAGGAAATCTGTGAACTCTAAGCAAAATTATTCTTTATATGGCGTATTTTAAAAGGTCTATAGTCTTCAAGTAATGCATTCACCTTTCTATTTTGGTCTGCAATGATTCTCTGTATTTTTTTATATTCAGACAAACCATGAGTATGGTTTAGAAAACAGCAGGGAGCCCGGCTGGTGTCACTCAGTGGTTGAGCATCGACCCAGGAACCAAGTAGTTGCTGGTTCGATTCCCAGTCAGGGCACATGCCTGGGTTTCAGGCTTGATCGCCAGTGGGGGTGTGCAGGAGGCAGCCCATCAGTGACTTCCTCTCTCATCATTGATGTTTCTCTCTCTCTCTCCCTCTACCTTCCTCTCTCACTAAAAATCAATAAAAATATATTTTCAAAAAAAAAGAGCAGCTAATACCTGTTTTGAAATAAAGAAGATTCACTGGGGAAACCGCTGTGTGGCACATGCACTGTCATTACCATGATCAGTTCACAGAGAGAGATGACGTCCCCTCTTTAAGCAATAAAACAAAATTTAAAAAAAAAGAATTTCCTCCTATAGTGCATGCCCTCCTTTGATCTGTATCTCCTTCAAAAAGCAGAATTTGTTTCTGAGGTTTTATTTTTAAAAAATGTATTTTTATTGATTGCAGAGAGGAAGGGGGAGAGAGAGAGAGAGATAGAAACATCAATGATGAAAGAGAATCATTGATTGGCTGCCTCCTACACACACTCTACTGGGGATCGAGCCCCCAACCCTGGTATGTGCCCTGACCTGGAATCAAACAATGACCTCCTGGTTCATAGGTTGATGCTCAATCACCGAGCCACACCAGCTGAGCTGTTTCTAGCCCAAAGACTTCAATGTCTTAAAGGACGTAGATGGGATATACCTCGATTCTAATACAGTCTTATGAAGGCAGTGTAAATGCTCATATGATTTCCCTAGTACAGGGGTCATACTGCCAGTTTGCTACAAAGCATTGCAGAGTTTTCTGGTTTGATTTCATGCATCTTGCAACCTATGAAAATCCGTGTTTTGCTTTCATGGACACACCCCTGCTTGTCTCTTGCAGCCACGCCCAGCTCCCTCTGCCAGCTGTGCCGCCTCTGCATCAGACGCCGCATCGGACGGCCGCGCTTGCACCTCATCCCACAGCTCCAGCTGCCCACGCTGCTGCAGAACTTCCTCCAGTACCGATAGACAGTAAAATTCGTCTCCGTGCTCAGACAATGCAAAGCTCCACGTCATCCGCACAGTGCATATTTCATATTAAAATGTGCTAACGAGGGGGTAGAAGCGGGTAGGGCAACACCCAGGGAAGCAGGGAAGTATGGATTCTACCTTTAAGTGTACGAGTGGGTACTGTTGTTTTAGATAGGCATTGTTATTGTTTTTGGACATAGTATATTTTGAATATCTATATATTATTATTCCCAGAGACCCTTTTGTTGGTTTAGGAAAAGAAAAGAGTTCTCCATTTTATGTTTTTTAGAGTGAAAAGGAAATCTGTGAACTCTAAGCAAAATTATTCTTTATATGGCGTATTTTAAAAGGTCTATAGTCTTCAAGTAATGCATTCACCTTTCTATTTTGGTCTGCAATGATTCTCTGTATTTTTTTATATTCAGACAAACCATGAGTATGGTTTAGAAAACAGCAGGGAGCCCGGCTGCTGTCACTCAGTGGTTGAGCATCGACCCAGGAACCAAGTAGTTGCTGGTTCGATTCCCAGTCAGGGCACATGCCTGGGTTTCAGGCTTGATCGCCAGTGGGGGTGTGCAGGAGGCAGCCCATCAGTGACTTCCTCTCTCATCATTGATGTTTCTATCTCTCTCTCCCTCTACCTTCCTCTCTCACTAAAAATCAATAAAAATATATTTTTTTTAAAAAAGAGCAGCTAATACCTGTTTTGAAATAAAGATTCACTGGGGAAACCGCTGTGTGGCACATGCACTGTCATTACCATGATCAGTTCACAGAGAGAGATGACGTCTCCTCTCCCGGCAGAGAGCTCCCTAGCCGCCTCCCCTTCCGTGGGCCTGGTCCAGAGAAGGCTGGGACTGGAAGCTATCGCTGCCGCCCCCACACCCTGAGGGTGAGGACATCGCACACCTGCTGGGCTATTTTAAGGCCTCCCCCTCCTCAAGGCAGCCTCTGAAGGTCTCTCTCCAGCGCTTTCAGACACATCCCTCCAGCCTCCTCCCGGCTCAGGAATTGCCAGCACCTGGTTCTGGTGCTACCTGGACCGAGGGAAACGGACTTTGTGTCTGCTTGACAAAGAGGTCCTTCCCTGGCCACATCTTAGGGAGCAGGGCAGCCCAAGGCCTTAGAAAGTGGAAAATCAAAAGCTCCTTAAACTGTGGGGTGCCACTTAGCAAACTTAGAGACCTTAAAAATGTACCCCTGGGATAGACCCCTGGTTAGTAGGGTGTTTCTATCTCCTTACCCAAGGCAAGGGTTCAGCACACACTGGATTGCCAGGGGGCGTTGGATCAAAGAGGATATTCCTGAAACAGTGTCCGCTACAGGGTGAATACCGTGTTTATCTTCTGCTTTAACTGTGCTTGCATGCCATTTCCTGTCTTCTTAGTTCTCTTGCTGACTTCCAGAGACCCCTGGGAAATAAACCATTATTGCATAAAATTCCAAAGTCACGGCGATGGCGTTAAAAATCATTTGTTTGGAGTTTCAAAAATAGAAATAAGGCTGCAGCAAGTTTGTTAAAATATGTTCCCTATGTGGCTAGAGACCTTTAAATGCATCTGTTTTACTGAAATCTCTGAAAACATTTGTAATGTCCTCATAAGTGTTTTTATTGTAGAGTAACCTTGTTAAATACCATTAGGTACTAAAACTGCCTTTTAGTAAAAAGGATTCCGACTGTCCTTTTCCTGCGTCAGAGGTTCCCTCGAGCGTGGGAGGACCGCGCTCCCCTTCCTGGGTCTTGCCTCTCGGAGAGTCAGCGCCACATGTTAACATGAGCGTTGCCCTTCCCATCACGAATGCTGGCACCTTGTAACTTAGCTTGAGTGTGGTTGTCTTGTCAGAGAGCTGTCCTCATTTAAATAGATCACATGTTTGTCCATGTGTTCAAGTGTGATTAGTGTCCCCGGAATAAAACCTCTGTTTTTTCGGTTCTAATTCGTCTTCAATTTTGTCACGGGAGGCCCTGGAGAATGCGGTTCGGGGCATTGAGAGTGATGCACGGCGATGGGGAATGGCCCCTCCATGACTCAGCGAACAGCACAGTCCCCTGACATGCAGGCGCCTCGGGACACGTTTGGGGTGTGTTTGGACGCCCAGCAACCAGGAAGAACTGTGCAGTGTGCACCCCATGCCGCCAGCAGCCCTGGCGTCGAAGCTGGTGGACTTGTCTTTCTGAGTCTGGTCAGGGTCATCATCTCCCTGGAAATGTGAGGGGCACATGTCCTTTTAATTGCTCTCTATTCCCCCCTCTACCCCCCCACACACACCCTGCAGCAGCACCTGAGCACCAATTAATTCCAGGGGCAGTAGTACCACCCAGCACATAAGGTGGAAGGAAATGTCATCCTCAGTTGGCCATTTCCATGGCAGCTCTCTCAGGAGGAAGGCAGCGCTGCACGTGGCAGGTCTCGATGATCATGCAGACGCACATCCACTCTGCACAGGCCTGTTGCCTCAGCAGGAAATGACTCCTCGTGGGAAGGACTCAATTTAGTCCTCAGCCACACGGTCTCGGTCGGGGAATGGAAGGCCGTGATTTCATACTTTGAGCTGCACTCTCCTTCGGACAAGCAGTGGAAAGTATTGCAGAGAATCTCACCACCTTCCTCATCAAGTTGTGTCTGAGGAGGGACAATTAAGTGACCAACCCACCCCTGTCTGCTTATTTTAGTAACAATGGGCTGGACTCTCACCCAGACCCTTCGCAGGCACCCCGTGCTTGGTTGCCAGCACCTGGTTCTGGTGCTACCTGGACCGAGGGAAATGGACTTTGTGTCTGCTTGACAAAGAGGCCCTGCCCTGGCCACACCTCAGGGAGCTGGGCAGCCCAAGGCCTTAGAAAGTGAAAGAATGGTCTGCTGTGTCATCTGAAAAGCTTGCTTTTGGGTGGTCTGCCCACATTTCTATGTTGCACGGTGCCCTGCAAATTATGCACCTGCTCCCGCTCTGCTGTGACGCTGTAACTCCCAGTAAATATCGTTCACCCATAAAAAACATGGTGGGGGAGATGCTGGGTGACTCTTGAGCGTAGGCCTCTGGGGACTTTATGCCTTCTGCTTCCATCCTCTTGGCAGCCTGGCCCACCTGTGGGGGAGGAGCCTGGCCCACCTGAGACCTTTAAATGCATCTGTTTTACTGAAATCTCTGAAAACATTTGTAATATCCTCATAAGTGTTTTTATTGTAGAGTAACCTTGTTAAATACCATTAGGTACTAAAACTGCCTTTTAGTAAAAAGGATTCCGACTGTCCTTTTCCTGCGTCAGAGGTTCCCTCGAGCGTGGGAGGACCGCGCTCCCCTTCCTGGGTCTTACCTCTCAGAGAGTCAGCACCACATGTTAACATGAGCGTTGCCCTTCCCATCACGAATGCTGGCACCTTGTAACTTAGCTTGAGTGTGGTTGTCTTGTCAGAGAGCTGTCCTCATTTAAATAGATCACATGTTTGTCCATGTGTTCAAGTGTGATTAGTGTCCCCGGAATAAAACCTCTGTTTTTTCGGTTCTAATTCGTCTTCAATTTTGTCACGGGAGGCCCTGGAGAATGCGGTTCGGGGCATTGAGAGTGATGCACGGCGATGGGGAATGGCCCCTCCATGACTCAGCGAACAGCACAGTCCCCTGACATGCAGGCGCCTGGGGACACACTTGGGGGAGTTTGGGGTGTGTTTGGATGCCCAGCAACCAGGAAGAACTGTGCAGTGTGCACCCCATGCCTCCAGCAGCCCTGGCGTCGAAGCTGGTGGACTTGGCTTTCAGAGTCTGGTCAGGGTCATCATCTCCCTGGTAATGTGAGGGGCACATGTCCTTTTAACTGCTCTCTATTCCCCCCCTCTCCCCGCCACCCACACACACCCTTCAGCACCCGAGCACCAATTAATTCCAGGGGCAGTAGTACCACCCAGCACATAAGGTGGAAGGAAATGTCCTCACTTGGCCATTTCCATGGCAGCTCTCTCAGGAGGAAGGCAGCGCTGCACGTGGCAGGTCTCGATGATCATGCAGACGCACATCCACTCTGCACAGGCCTGTTGCCTCAGCAGGAAATGACTCCTCGTGGGAAGGACTCAATTTAGTCCTCAGCCACACGGTCTCGGTCGGGGAATGGAAGGCCGTGATTTCATACTTTGAGCTGCACTCTCCTTCGGACAAGCAGTGGAAAGTATTGCAGAGAATCTCACCACCTTCCTCATCAAGTTGTGTCTGAGGAGGGACAATTAAGTGACCAACCCACCCCTGTCTGCTTATTTTAGTAACGGGCTGGACTCTCACCCAGACCCTTCGCAGGCACCCCGTGCTTGGTTGATGGTCTGCTGTGTCATCTGAAAAGCTTGCTTTTGGGTGGTCTGCCCACATTTCTATGTTGCACGGTGCCCTGCAAATTATGCACCTGCTCCCGCTCTGCTGTGACGCTGTAACTCCCAGTAAATATCGTTCACCCATAAAAAACATGGTGGGGGAGATGCTGGGTGACTCTTGAGCGTAGGCCTCTGGGGACTTTGTGCCTTCTGATTCCATCCTCTTGGCAGCCTGGACCACCTTTGGGGGAGCCTGGCCCACCTGTGGGGGAGGAGCCTGGCCCACCTGTGGGGGAGGAGCCTGGCCCACCTGTGGAGGAGGAGCCTGGCCCACCTGTGGGGGAGGAGCCTGGGCCACCTGTGGAGGAGCCTGGATCTACCTGCAACTGGCAGGTGTGTGAGCAAGGCCACCAGTAGCCCCCACAGCCTGAGCACCAGGCTGACACCAGGCGGGAGGAGCCGATGCTGCCCACCTCAGTGTGAGAACATAAATTATGGTCAGTAAATCAAGCTGCTGAGTTTGGGGATGGTTCTGTTACAAAGCAATAGGTAATGATAACTGCTTTTGACCCTCCTATCTCTCCTGCTCACTTCTCATTTCCCGCTGCTCCGTTGGGGGACTTCCCAGTTTTGTGGGGGGCCGGGGAGGGGCATGGATGTCCCTCCTAGTGATACTGACCTGGGGGAGGAGAGCTGTCTCCCCACCGGGGAAACTTCCTTCTTCCAGATGCAGAAGGTCAAACTCTGAGGTCACCAGAAGAAAAGAATGAGGGACAGAAATTTGGTGACTGAAAAGAGCATCTCTGAGACCATTTCCTACCCAGAATCCTCCAAATGGAGGAGGACTGAGTTTTCAGGGCCAAGTCCCTGGAACTCGTTCTTCTCTGATGTCCACTCGCAGCCCACCTGCGGGATCGGACCTTTTCAAGAGGAGGTTTCCCATCACAGCGGTGAGCGTGGCTAAGGGGCCACTCACTCCCCTGCCTTCCGGGACTCCCACGCAGGCAGAGGAGCGTGCACGGTGACATAAGCAGAAGTGACCGGGTCACCTGCAGGCTCGGTGACTTCCTCTCTGTCTCCCTTTGCCCCAGCGCCTTCAGAGGCCACGTGTTTCCAGCGAGGCAATCTGACCCAGCTCGGATGGCCGCACGTGGAAACCCGCCCCACTGACCCACAGTGCCTGTGAAATGTCAGCCACAAGTAAACCTTCCCTGGGTGAAGCCACCGAGATCTTTGAGCCGCTGCGCTCTCGCAGTAATAACTTGTCCAATATATTAATTTCCATCTGTTTAACCTTCAGCAATCAGAGGCGAAGATCCAAGGGCCTCATACGTCTGCCGGTTCCTTTGTAGCAGTTCCGTTCATTCCCATACAAACGCACAGTGTATGTAGAAAGAAAGGTTTAATTTTAAGTCTTTGTGTATTTGTGGAGGGAGAAAGATACTGTTCCTACTGGGGTGTCCATTTGCGAAGGGATGATTATGGCCCATTATGTCATTACCAATGGACACTGAGCTGACCATGAGCTGTAATTACAGTCACAGGGGTGAGCAGGACCCAGGCTCATCTGTACAGATGGAGACGAGAAACGGTCAAATGCATCGGAGTGCTCCACTGAGGAGAGTGCTCTGCTGTGAGTCTGGCCTGAACACCATCGCGTGAGGCCCCCAGAGGGAAGATAAAGGCTGAGGCTCTGCCTCAAAATTAGCAGAAACTAATTTTAGCATCTGCGATCTTAAAATATCCAAGCAGAGGATAAAATCCTGCACTCACTTTTAAGAAGTTGATTCTGACACTGACCTGTAAAATATTTAGATCGTAATTTAGGTAGTAGACATGTTCTGACTTAAGTTTATAGTTCTTGTTTAAGTGGAAAGGGCATTCCCAATCCATGCTTAGTTTTTTGCATTCTCAGGGCTATGCCTTCCAACTTAGGAAGGTCATTAGCAGGCAGCCTTATAAGGGGGGTATTTCATCACCAGCACCGTACAAACTGGACCATAATCTTTCCGTAGAACCACCTTGGAACACCTACAGTCCAGTGGCAATTATGAAATAACCTGTAGTTCTAGGGTGAGCCTCCAAGTTCAGCTTAAAACAGCGGAAGGCAAAGGTAGGTAGTTGGGTGCTGCAGCCCGGGGATGAAACCAGATCTTGACGAATTTTAAATGGAGGTTACGGTGTAGAGCAGTGGTTCTCAACCTTCCTAATGCCACGACCCTTTAATACAGTTCCTCATGTTGTGGTGACCCCTAACCATAAAATTATTTTCATTGCTACTTCATAACTGTAATTTTGCTACTGTTATGAATCGTCATGTAAATATCTGATATGCAGGATGTATTTTCATTGTTACAAATTGAACATAATTAAAGCATAGTGATTAATCACAAAAACAATATGTAATTATATATGTGTTTTCTGATGATCTTAGGTGACCCCTGTGAAAGGGTCGTTCGACCCCCAAGGGGTCACGACCCACAGGTTGAGAACCGCTGGTGTAGAGCAACATCACCTTTTCATAAACAATCACATAGAAGCCTCAAGTTTTTGAGAAATTTGCTTTATGTCCTATTGATTTATAGATCACAAATAGCCAAAAAATATTTCATATATATATAGAACAAATGAGGGAGAGAGAGAATTATCAGTGATGAGAGAGAATTATCAATCAGCTGCCTCCTACATGTCCCACACTGCAAGCTGGGCATGTGCCCTGACCAGGAATCAAACTGTGACCTCCTGGTTCACAGGTCGATGTGACACTCAACCACTGAGCCACATCGGCTGGGCTAGACATAAAATATTTCTATCAAAACTTCAATTAGTGAGTATTTACAATTTATAACAATCCCACATTCCGATATCTAGGATGAGTCTTGAAAGAAAGTATCAGAATTCATAATAAGCAGCAGGCTTAGATGTTAAAAGAAATGTGCATACTTCATCCCACGTTCTCTAAATCCCTTCCTTGTGTAATAGCTTCTGTTCCATCGTTTGAAATAGTGGAATCTTGGAGGAAGCCAAGAATTAGTACTTCCGCTCTTGCCCAGATTGAAAATTAAAGGCTGGGAGCCCAGCGGCCTGCAGTGTGGCTTCCGTCTGGGTTGGCGCTCCGGGGTGGGCAGGTGAGCGCGAAGGGGTCTGAAGGAAGGTTACTCTGCCATTTCAAAGGTATGTTATCTTAGATGCACAAAGACCATGGGCAACTTCAAAATGATTAACCTTTGTCAGGCAGCTACAGGCCTGGGACGTGACTGTCCACCATGACTCACTTTTAGTTAGGAATTTCCATGTGGAGACTGCGTGTGTGTGTGTGTGTGTGTGTGTGCGCGTGTGTGTGTGTGTGTGTGCGTGTGTGTGTGTGTGTGTGTGTGTGTGTGGTCACTTTGGTCTCTGCATTGTAAGGTGGGCCGTGCAGGCCTCCCCTGATCCTCTCAAGATTCGTATGTGGCCCCTTTTCCAACCACAATTTTATTTTTTGCACAATAACATGTAGCTACATGCCACATTGATTTTCCCCCCTTTGGTATAATAGATTTTTTAAAACTGTTGTGTAAATATTTAATTTATAATTGTCTATGCTGCTCTGCAATCATCTCCTCCCCCCCCCCCCTCATTGTTCACTGATAAATCCCAAGTACCCGTGTCAGCGCACAGTAGGGACTCAGTGGAGACTGAATGAATGAATTGCACACACTGGGGCATCTTCAGGAAGTGGGAAAATCCAACTTACAAACTGTTTCCAAATACTAGGTAATTTTTACGAACACTTAATGTAATAATCAAGGAAACAGGCAGGCTACGTTTAGACAGTAAACATTTATTTAGACATTAAGCATCTTATTAAACATTTAGACACTGGGCACTTAATTTTGAAGGCCTTTTTTCCCATGGGTGTTCAGGAGGAAACACCATATCGTTTCCAGTTTCCAAGCAACACCGTCCTGGTCCTCTGGAGCCCCCTCACCTGCTCCTTAAAACGCTTGGCTGGAAACAGGCCTCCAGCTGGGCTTACAAACCACGGGATGGGATCTAAAACTTAGCCCCGCAGCCTGGCGCAGTGGTTGCAGGCTCCCCGCCCCCCACCCCTCCCCTTCCCCCTGCAGGGCGTGCAGGAGGCAGCCCATCAAGGATTCCCTCTCATCATTGTTGTTTCTAACCCTCTTTCCCTCTCCCTTCCTCTCTCGGAAACCAATAAAAATATATGTAAAAAATAAAATAAAATGTAAACTTCAAGGGAGCTCTAAATTAGTGAAGACAAGGAACACAGCCTGAAACCCTCCACCCCTCCCCCAGCCCCCAGGCTGAAGCTCCATGTCCACGTCCAATTAGCGCAGGGATCGCGTCCCCCGGCCCCGCCCCTCGAGGCCCCGCCCCTCGAGGCC